GGCGTCCCAACAATTACTCCATTCACACAGAAGAAGGCAATGGCAAACCCCTTCTGGATCATCTGCCAAGAACGTATATGAACAGGTCCCAGTCCGAGAAAAGGATGGAAGGATCCTGTTCATATGGACCTGTCGTCAGACAGAACACTAAATAATAATAATAATAATAATAATAATAAGACGCATTACCTCTGAGTTAAGCGTCAGAAAGGATTTTCATGAAATGTTATATTCAGGACTGCCACTAAAATTTGTGAGTGCAGCCAATTTCAGTTAAAATCGGACAGAAATAACTCGCACTTTACAGGAAGACGTACTGGTATATGCGTTTATGCAAATGGCGTGACTCGGTCGGCGATCCCCAGCGTACTTAGTTACCACGGTTGCCTCGGAAATCCCCCAGCGACCCAACCAATTCTGACGTCACTGTTCGCAAAGGTAAAAGACGAATGCGTCAGAATTGTTACGGTAAGCATACACTTCCTAACTTGTTGCTCCATGCGTTCTTTTATGACTGCAGCAGTACAGCATGAACGCGGTCCTCGGAAGCCGAAGCACCATCAGCACCACTCGAAGGACCTGCACCATCATCATCATCACCACCACATTGGCTCCTCGGCTGTACTCGGTGGAGTGCCCGTTCTACAGGCGCCTGCAGACGGGACTTCGACCAAACTTCTATTTCCCGGAGCGGTGGCTCCACAAGCGAAACCACCGGCAATTGGGACGGCGTCAACTGGCGGGGAACACGCATCAGTCGCACCTCCGGCATCCGCCATGTTCCTAGGGCACCAGCCACCACCTCCCGGTCTTCTGCAGCTCCTCATGTCCGCAGAGAAGTGCCAGGTAAAACCACCTCGAAATTTCTTCTGTAACTGTTTTAAATCTCGCCTCAAGAAAATGAAGAACGGAATTATACGTGACCATGTATTTGTGTATCTTCATATAAATCCTTGCCATACAAATGCGAAGGCATTTGAAAACAAGACATAAGAAATGTCGAATAAAATTATCGATGAAAAAGCTGTGTGTGTGTGTGTGTGCTACTAATTATAATTAAGAAAAATCAGAAATTGTTTTTCTTTTTTCTAACTACAGTGTGCAAATATACAATTTTAATTTCAATTTTAAAGAGATGATAATGTTGCGTCATATTGTGATGATTATAATTGTTTAATTTTAACCGTCTAATCACAATAAAATGTTTTATTAAATATTAAAATATTATTACTATAATTAACATTTAATATTTAAAATATATATTAAAATGATGCTTTTTCTATCGAAACGTTCGATTTACAATTAGAGCGTCATCATTTTCACGACATGTTTCGGTTTTCAATGAACCATCTTCAGGTGTATAATCGATATAAATTTAAATGTAATATTCTAAATGCAATCCTTCGTCAGATGTCCATTAAATATCTGAAAGTTATCCTCTTCTAGATCAATTGTACTTTGTTATCACATTCAATGTTGTTTCGTAAATGTATGTCGCGTATAGCGTGATCTTGCGTGGGTGAAATATTTGTAGTGGTTTTTTTATAATCGGCCAGATATGAAGAGTGGAGGAGGTCCGTTTAGAAGTAATGTTGTGTTGGAATTTTAAAGTCTTCAGCACATATTTTCTGACGGTGACAGGAATGTTCCTTGGTAGTATATACATCGTAGAAGGCTAAATTCTGAACGAAATTAGACCTACGTAAGCTGTAAGGATTCAGACTAAACCTATTTTTCCAATACATTTTCTTTTACACTGTTTAAAACAGCAGCTTATATTATCAAAACAAGATAAATGTTTCAAAAAGACAGGTTTCCTTTTTGAAAATTGTTCCGTTTGTCAGGATTTACTAAACAATACAGAGTGGACTGAATATGAAATACGTAACATAATCTTCTTCAGTCACTTTATCCTAAATATGGCGTATATATAATTTCTCCTAAATACCAACAAACAATTCACCCAAAACAGTTTAATTTTCGAAAAAAATAATAATAATAACCACAATAAATCAGATCGAAAATCTCATACTCCGATTTCACAGGCTTGTAAATAGTTTCGTATAAAATTTATTTTCACAGCAGTTATCCTCGATTATACCAAATTCTACGTTTGCTATTGTCAAGTCGACGATGCACCAAAGTTACTTCCATAAAAATATACACGGCCTTATTATTAACGCAGTTTTTGCTAGACGACAGCGTCGGAGCACAAATTTTACCCTTTCCTGCACCCGAATGTGTACTGTTCTACCTGCAAGTCTCTAATTCTTACAGGACCTGGTTCAATACAAATCTGCAGCCTTTTCAGTCAGATTGTTAGAAGCTCATTTATTGTAGTTAAATTGTCGCTTTATAACTTTACGAAGGAAATTGTTTAATTACGGAAAATATTGAGGAACGTGTTACATCAAAGGAAAGTAGGCCGTGGACATTGATTAATTCTAATTTTGTTAAAAACAATATTTTAAAATATTTGTTTAAATCTAGTCAGTCTAATCACAATAAAATTCCTATTAAATATTAAAATATTACTATAATTAACATTTAAATATTTAAAATATATTAAATGGTGATGATGATATTTTAAATATTTAAATGTTAATTATAGTAATATTTTAATATTTAATAGGAATTTTATTGTGATTAGACTGACTAGATTTAAACAAATATTTTAAAATATTGTTTTTAACAAAATTAGAATTAATCAATGTCCACGGCCTACTTTCCTTTGATGTAACACGTTCCTCAATATTTTCCGTAATTAAACAATTTCCTTCGTAAAGTTATAAAGCGACAATTTAACTACAATAAATGAGCTTCTAACAATCTGACTGAAATTTCAACAGGAATTCATCTGGAGCACGAAATTGAACGAAGCAGAGAGACTGTCAGTTGCCAGCATCCCTCAACCAAGTCCCTTGCCTCTCCCACTGTCGCCGACGTGGGAAGTTCTACAGGTGAGTGAGGCCTGTTTTAAAACAAAATTGTGACCAAAAATTATCTAGGCTTTCTTGTTTCACTTGTCGTAAAAAAAAAGAGGAAATTTTAAAAAAAATATATTAACAGTGAGAATGAAAATTAGCTCTGAAGATTAAAGAGTCGACATTTGTATCAGCAACAGGCCCCAGATTTATTTTATTTGAAGATGGTTATTGATACCGTGTCAATGCCACGCCTGCAGCCGAATGACTTCTGCGCTGAGTAAGTCTCCTTCCTGTCCCCGCATTGGTTGCTCCTGCATTGACTTTTCGACACCAAGTTCTGCTATTGGCTTACCGAAACAAGAGTGACTTTACTGACGCCCAGATGACAAACCGCCAATAAGCCAACAACATCTGAACGCTCATTGGTGGGCTATGAATCATCCATTTATACAACTCTCAGCAAATGGAGTCGAGAACTGTTGTTAAGACGCGAAAATTAATTCCCTTTACTGCACGAGAGTCCAGCGAGATGTAAGAGTTCCACGCCTCACTGGCATAAGAATAAATTAAAATAAATAAATAAATAAATTAAAAATGTGAATTTTGAATCATCTATTCCAGGGACAATGATGTAAGTGTTGACTAACTGGGTTTTAAACGATGGAAACATTTTTCCGACATGGTAACCAACTGCAGTCTACGAGGTGCGATCGGAAAGTTTCAAGACTGTGTCAATAGAGGGCGAACAGGATGTAGTACGAGCTTCTGCC